CCTACTCCTCTTCCCCCTCCTCCACCACCTCCACCTCTCCTCCTCCTCCTCCTCCTCCTCCTCTCTTTCCAATCCTCCTCTTCCTCCTCCCCCACCTCCACCTCCACCTCCTCTTCCTCCACCCACCTCCTCCTCCTTCTCCTACCCCCCTCGTCCTCCTCCTTTTTCTTTCTTCCTCCTCCTCCCCCTCCTCCTCCTCCACCTCACCTCCTTTTCCACCTCCTCTTCCCCTCCTCCTCCTCCTCCCCCTCCTCTTCCTCCACCTCCTCTGCCTCCTCCTCCCCCCCTCCCCCACGTGGCAGCCACAAGCGCGCAAAAGAGATCGTTCAACTCGTGAGTGCGGATTCGTCTGGTTTGCATTCCCCTTTCTTTGCCTTTTGCTTCGTATTTTGCTTCGTATTTTGCTTCATGTTTTGCTTCTTGGGTTTGCGTCTGTCTGTCTGTGTATAAGAGAGGGAGGGAGGGAGGGAGAGGGAGGGGAGGGAGAGGGGGAGGGAGAGAGGAGGAGAGGGAGAGAGGGGGAGGGAGGGAGGAGGGAGAGGGAGGGAGGGAGGGAGGGGGAGGGGAGGGAGAGGTGAGAGAGAGAGAGAGAGAGAAAGAAAGAGAGAAAAGAGAGAAGAAGATAAAGAGAAAAAAAGAAAAGGAAGAGATGGATGATATTGATGGTGCTAATGATGTTATCATTGATGATGATACTAGTGGTAATAAACCGAACAAAAATTTTAATAGAAAATATATCAATTCGAAGGAAAATAAGCAGAGAAGACGAAGGCGATAAATAGAAAGAAGAAAGAAGATTGGACATTTTTTTTTTTTTTTTTTTTGCTTTTATTTTTTTTATTTGTTCTTTTTGTTGTTGTTGTTGTTTTGAGAACTGGGTGCGGGTACATCCGGTTAGGCGAGTTATATTGTTTGTATGTATATTTCTTTCGTAAGTTCGTTCAGTCTGTATTTCACCTTTCCGTTTATTTCTAATGTCATTTATTTATTTATTATTATATTTATTTATTTATTTTTGCAGTTCACTTGTATTCGTTGTTACAGTCTAAATTGTTCCTTGATTTCTATAGATTGTTTTTATTTTTTTATTTAATTTTTTTATTATTGTAATTATTGATGTTTTATTTTTTATTTCATTATAATTATTTTTGTTGTTATTGGTATTTTTGCTTTTGATATTATTAGCAATTTATTTTTTAGAGGGACATTTGTATCTGTCTTGCCTTGAGGTTTGGTGTAGATACAGCCACTTTATTGTTGTTGTTGTTTGGTTATGCTTGTGGGTCACGTTTTCTTTGTGTGTTTGGGGTGCTTGTATGTGGGTGGGGTTGGTGGTGATATTGTGTGTGGGGGGGGGGTCGTGTACGGAGGGTGGGGTTATGTGTGTGGGTGTGGGGGAGGGGGTTGTGGGTGTGTGTGTGTGTCGGGGGGGAGGGTTGTGTGTGTAGTGTGTGTAGGTATGTGTGTGTGTGTTGTGTGTGTGTGTGTGTGTGTGTGTGTGTGTGTGTGTGTGTGTGTGTGTGTGTGTGTGTGTGTGGTGTGTGTGGTGTGTGTGTGTGTGTTGTGGTGTAAGCAGGTCATCGAACCACTGAACATTACCTTTAACAAATGAAATATGAGTCATTTACATCCAGCCCATCTTTCTCGAAGCCAGATCAGCCAAGGTGATTTATACGCCCGGCAGCTCCGTCAATCATCAGGGGGGTTAGGCCTATGACGTCATCGAGTACGGAAGAACTGTTTTTTTCCTGTTACTTTTAAAAAGGGTTGAATAGGCTTGCCAAGATTATTATTATGTTTGTCGTATACTTTGGTTCATCCAAGAGAGAAGAAGAGAGAGTAAGGGAGGAGAAGGAGGTGGGAGTGAGTGGGGAGAGAGAGGGAGAGGGATTAAGAGTGGATGAGAGTGAGAGAGTGGGAGTAGGTGAGGATAAGAAAGGGGGAGAGGGAGAGAGAGTAGAGAGAGAGAGAGAGAGAGAGAGAGAGAGAGAGAGAGAGAAGAGAGAGAGAGAGAGAGAGAGAGAGAGACGAGAGGAGAGAGAGAGAGAGAGAGAGAGAGAGAGAGAAGAAAGAGGAGAGAGAGAAAAGGAGAGAGGAGGGAGAGAAAGAAAAGATGGTTGACAGAGAATATGATGGATAAATGGACAGACATGCACAGACACTCACATACACAATCTTACACACACATCTCACGTCATTTTATCAAATTTAGTTAGACCAAAAATGAAATATTAGCACTTGAGCTTAATATATCAAATAGTGCAATAAGAAATAATCAAAGAAAAACAACAGAAACGAGGAAAAAGAGAATGAGAAGGAGAAAATGAAAAAGATGGTAAAGATTAAGACGACGGTAATAAAGAAAGATTGCAATGAGTAAGCAGAATAAGTAGAATAAAACTGTATATACCATAGGCATCTGTGTGTGTGTGTGTGTGTGTGTGTGTGTGTGTGTGTGTGTGTGTGTGTGTGCTGTGTGTGTGTATGTTGTGTGTGTGTGTGGTGTGTGTGTGTGTGTGTGTGTGTGTGTGTGAGAGAGAGAGAGAGAAGAGAGAGAGAGAGAGAGAGAGAGAGAGAGAGAGAGGAGACAAGAGAGAGAGAGAGAGAGAGAGAGATGAGAGAGAGGAGAGAGAGAGAGGGGAGGGAGGGAAAGAGAGAGTGATTGTGTGTGTATGTTTTTGTTGTATGTGTATGTGTATGTGTGTGTGTGTGTGTGTGTGTGTGTGTGTGTAGGTATATCTATTACAAAGTAAATTTAGACAATGAACCCGTCATTAACTTTCCCGCCAAACCGCCATCATTTTCCGCTCTCTGCGCGAACCATCTCCCTCCCTCGCTTGGAAGCGTTTTAGGCCAAAAAAAGCAAAAAGAAAGAAGAAAAGAAAAAAAAAGGGAAGAAGAAAAAAAAAAAAGAAAAAAGGAAGAATAAGAATAAAAAAAAAGAAAAAAAGAAAAAAAGAATAAAGAATTAAAAAAAGAATAAAGAAAAAGAAAAAAAGGGAAAAATAAAAAAAGAAAAAAAGGAAGAATGAAGAAGAAAAAAAAAAGAAAAAACAAGGAAAAAGAAAAAAATAAGAATAAATAAAGAAAAAAAAACTAAATAAAAGAAGATAAAAATAAGAGAATGGAAGAGAGAGAGAGAAAAAAAAAACTTTATTTACTCCCGCTTTAACCGACATTTGGCTAATGGTTTACACAGGAGGAGGTGTTTAGAGGGAACGTAAGGGGAGAGAGAGAGCGCATTCGACTGGCCTGTGGGG